CCACCACCGGTTCCACTACAGCTACTACTCATTTCAATTTGATTTACTTTGTGTCTCGCCCTTAATCACAACAGCAGTCGTCTCTCAGGAGGACTTTACAAAGTTGTGGATTCAACAACAACAGAGCAAGAATCAAATTCAGGAAATGCAATAACAACAAACAAATGGACAAAAGTGAAAGTGAATGTTGTTTGGTGTCAGTGTGATGATGGATTTCTAGAGGAGGCTCTTTGTGAAAGTGGATCCGTGGCATCGCTCTGAGGAGACCACACTCCACCACAAGCACCAGACACAACATCAATACTTGTATTTATTATCCATCTTGCCACTAATGTGAAATCACAAAGTATTTAAAGCTCACAAACACAAGAGAAACTTGGCTTTTACGTCTTTCTCCAGTCTCTCTCTGGTCTCTCGCTCTCTGGTCCATTTCTGGTCTCTCTCTGGTCTCTCTCTGGTCTCTCTCTGGTCTCGCTCTCTGGTCTCGCTCTCTGGTCTCGCTCTCTGGTCTCGCTCTCTGGTCTCGCTCTCTGGTCTCGCTCTCTGGTCTCGCTCTCTGGTCTCGCTCTCTGGTCTCGCTCTCTGGTCTCGCTCTCTGGTCTCGCTCTCTGGTCTCGCTCTCTGGTCTCGCTCTCTGGTCTCGCTCTCTGGTCTCGCTCTCTGGTCTCGCTCTCTGGTCTCGCTCTCTGGTCTCGCTCTCTGGTCTCGCTCTCTGGTCTCGCTCTCTGGTCTCGCTCTCTGGTCTCTCGCTCTCCGGTCTCTCGCTCTCCGGTCTCTCGCTCTCCGGTCTCTCTCTGGTCTATCTCTGGTCTCTAGTAGTAGAAGCAGTAGTCCTGGATCTGCTCCTGGTTCCGCTCCCTATAGGAGCATAATGGATCTTATGTGTTTGTTACTGTTGCATTTCCTGTGTTTTTGTGATGTGTTGTTTGTAAAGTCCTCTGAGAAAACTGCTAAAGTCCAGTAAACATAATGGAACATTCAACAACATTCAGAGCAATTTAATTAATTGTAGTTACTCCAGACTTAGCCCCTGTCTCTGTGTGCAGTGTTCCCCAAAAGGATCATGGGAAACTAATAAAACATACAGTACAGACCAAAAGTTTGGACACACTTTCTCATTCAATGAGTTTCCTTTCTTGTCATGACTATTGACCGTAGATCCACACCCAGGCTGTGTAAGGGTTATTTGTCCAATAAGGAGAGTGGTGGTGCTTGGCCAGATGACCTGGCCTCCACAGTCACCGGACCTGAACCATATCCAGATGGTTTTGGGGTGAGCTGGACCACAGAGTGAAGACAAAAGGGCCAACAAGTGCTAAGCATCTCTGGGAACTCCTTCAAGACTGTTGGAAGACCATTTCAGGTCCTTTTGAAGCTCATCAAGAGAATGCCAAGAGCATGTGAAGCAGTAATCAGAGCAAAAGGTGCTACTTTGAAGAACCCAGAATATAACACATATTTTCAGTTGTTTCATACTTTTTTTAGGTACGTACATAATTCCACACAAGTTAATTCATAGTTTTGATGCCTTCAGTGTGAATCTACAATTTTCATAGTCATGAAAATGAATAAAACTCTTTGAATGAGAAGGTTTGTCCAAACTTTTGGCCTGTACTGTATAAAACAAACCCATATTTACCTGATCCCCATCTTTGCGCACAGGAACCGCATCGGCCGCTGGAACAAGAGCAGAAACAGGACTTTAACATCAGAGACTCAGACACAATAGGACTCACTAGACCACAGAGAGACCTCAGAGTGAGACCAGAGAGAAAGACCTGAGAGATGCAAGAGAGGGACTAGAGAGAGACCCCAGTTGACTAGAGAGAGAGAGAGCACAGAGACAAGAGAGAGACCAGAGAGAGACAAGAGCGAGACCACAGAAAGAGAGCAGGAAGAGACTAGAGAGAGAACATAGAAAGATCACAGAGAGTTAATGTAAAAATTGATTGAGAGGAAATGTAAAGGGTTCTCGGTTTACAATAAAGAAACTTATTCCTTCTCACGCTGCACCAACGTGTTATTCCCACAATGTTTGAGTTCTAACCTCTGTGTAATGTCTAATTATAACCTTATCTCTGTCACACACACAGACACACAGTGGAGTTTACATGTCTCTCTCTGGTCTCTCTCTGGTCTCTCTCTGGTCTCTCTCTGGTCTCTCTCTGGTCTCTCTCTGGTCTCTCTCTGGTCTCTCTCTGGTCTCTCTCTGGTCTCTCTCGGTCTCTCTCTGGTCTCTCTCGGTCTCTCTCTGGTCTCTCTCTGGTCTCTCTCTGGTCTCTATCTGGTCCCTCTCTGGTCCCTCTCTGGTCCCTCTCTGGTCTCTTTCTAGTCTCTTACTTGTCTTTCGGGTCTTTCTCTTTGGTCTAGAAGTGGTCTTAAGCTTCACAAAGCAGCACAAGCTGAAAACACACACTTCTACAGACATGAATCAGATCAATACCAGTAAAACGCCACATGGTCTGTTAGCGTTTGTGAGGTCTGAGAAACCTGGAATTTGTCTCATTCAAATTTAACATAATATTTTTCTCTCATTCTGCAGCGTCAGCGATGGACCAAAATAGCAGTGTCCTGCCTCCATCTCCTGCAGAGACCGGAGTCTGCGTTTGTTCAGTTAAATGGGTAACTGTTACACGGCACTTCCACTTCAGTCTGTGTCGCCCTGAATCACAGCGGTCAGAGGACTCTACACAGTTGTGGATTCATCAACAACAGATCAGAGAATCAAACACAGGATATGTAATAATAACAAACACATAAGAGCCAATACTACTCTACTATACTCTTCTATACTCTAGAACCTGTGAGTACCAGCTGGGCCATAGAACCATGGGTACGATAGTGTTGTGTAAAGACCAGAGTCAAAGCAGAGTCTGGGTCTTCACAACAGAAACCTGAGGATATTTGTTGGAAGTCACTCAAACAAAATCCTCCTATCATCCAAAACACAGCAGCAATGATCTGGACAGGCAGCAACAGGAGGAACACATCCCCCCAGTGTTAAAATCACTCCACAGGCTTCTGTGGAGAATAGAATCATGTTCAAACCCTTCTTTTCACATACATACAAGGCCTAAAATAGTGCGGAACATGTCTTAGAGGGAGCCCGTTAAAGCAACCACTCTCAGTGCTCGAAAAACGCCAGATATCTGCTGGGTCCTAAAGAGTCAAAGTGTTTAGCCAGAGGTGGTGATGATAGCTCTCTCACACAGTAAACCCCACAGTGTCTGAGTGGTTAGCACAGGTGCACTTCTCTAACAGGAGTTTGCATGTTCTCTCTGTGTCTCCCCTCTCTCTGGTGTCTCAAACTTCTCTGGTGCTGAAGCTGCTTCTCTTCGTATTTATAGATTATAGAGAACAGCCGTAATTGTTTAAGGCTTTGATCCTGAGTTCAATATTGTGACAATGAATGAAGTGTCATATTTCGTCTTCTGTTACCATGGAAACGGGCAACTATCTGACCCGTGTTTGAAGATATTGATTCTTTAAGTGCTCGCTCAGAGGAGACACACACATACACACACACAGACACTCGCCGTCAGCTGAGTCAGAAATTGTGTTGTTTTTTTCCAGCACTCGGGGCACTAAAATATGAGAGGATCATGTGATAATATGTCTAACATAGATTACATATATAAAAGTTCTCCATTCAAAACCCTGCAGTTATTTAACTGTTTCAAATCTTCCGCTGCACTATTTATTGTGTAACGAGACACAGAACATTGTTATCCGCCAGTGCTCAGCCAATAAGAGACGAATATTATCAAGCAGGCGAGGGCAAATCACTGTCAGTGTGTAAACAAACACGGCGTGCAAGGTTAGAGAGAGCCGTCTGATCACCACCATCAACCTTTGAGGCAGAAATGGACAATTTGCAGCAGCCTTTTTTAAACACATGGAATCAGGCACAAAAAACCCTGTGAAATCCTTACGGAGGCAACCTGCAAACGATACGCCCGTGAATGGGAAAAGACAATCGCAGGTATCTTGCTATCGCCGTTTCATCAACAAGAAACGCATACACAGTGTTCTGAAGGGAAAAGCTAATAACTATGAAGAGGCATCTTCTCAAGAAAACGTCGACACTGAAAAGGCCAAGGAGGTTTTGATCTACAACCACTCCCACATGCATTTGTTTAGTTTGGCAAGAAGGTGGACGGATACGTGACTTGCCAGAGTAAGAGAGTAAAGGACAAACTCATCCAGGCAGAAACTAAAAGTGCAGGTAAGCTTATTTTATTGATGTTCATATTACACTAAATTTAGATTTTTTTCTGTTTTTTGCATGCTAGCAGTGATCACAGAAATGCAATAATAGCATACATGTGCATTGTATATCTACAGTATTTAGCTTTTTGCTTTATCGTCTTGTCTGTTCAGGTGTTACTTCTGCTGGAATGAAATGATAAAACACAATTTAAATTGTTATTTCCAGGTCTACTGCTCCAGCTGAGGCTAAAAGTGATGAGCACATTCTTCATCACATCCGGGGAAAATAATGTGTAGCCCTAGACGGCTTTCCCTGCCACCAACTAAAGATGTCTCAAACAAAACAACCGGAGAGGAAACTATCAGGCAGCGATCCATCAAAGATCTCCACAGCTCATGATAGAGGCACCCTCTCCTAATGTCATGGTTGGATTCTTGAAGAAAATAAGGATTTAAAAATACAGTGGTTACCAATGATCCAGCCCCAGAATCTGTTATGAACTCTGTTCACTGTGGCTGTAAACTGGATCAGGGTCCTGTACAGACCTGTGACTGTGATGTGCGACTTGTAAAAACAAAAAAGAAAATGACCAAGAGACATCAGTTGATCAGCTTGCCTTGATGAGTTCTTATAGATTCATTATATAATACAATATTATTGCTTCCAAACTTCCAAGCAATTTTTTTTTCCCTAAATTCTTAATTCAATTTTTAAAGTTGAAAATAACTAGTACCTCATACTTCGTGGTATTCAATCCTTGATCTCAGAATTACAACATGTGCCTTTTTTCCTTTTAACATGTGATATTGATCATGAATATTCCATATAAAGGTTCCATGTACTTAATTCAAACCTTTCAATATGCAAACATTTAAACTTGAAACTTGTTAATGAAATCTTAATATATATCTTATATTTTGGGTTATATCAATGTTTGCGGGTATTTAGGAATAGTATTTCACAAATGAGTGAACTTGAATTGAAAGTTGATGTTTTCCATTTGTGATTAATAAATTCATTTCATTTATGATTAATTTACTGCTGGAAAATTCATGGAGGACTTTGAAAGTACGATCAGATAAACTGTAGTAAAGCTAAAACCAGTCTCGAAAAGTAGTGCCAAAGTCACTGGAACGAAAATTGATTTCTAGTCACATATTTGGACTCAGCTGATGGCCTATTTTCCACAGAAGTCTGAAAATTACAGTTTTCAGCGACTGCCTTGTGGTTCCATTCTTCTATGAAATGTGATCGTACCCTAGACTGTATACAGATGGACAATGCTAACCCGCTAGCTCCAACTCTCTCTGACTCCTATTGACTTTGATGCAAAAGTCATTTCCTCTCAGTAACCAAATGTGTAACACTCAACATTTAAACACTCAAAATCTGCAGTTTATCGCTCGCTATGATTCTAGTGTGGATATTGTGATATTATCTTTGTAAATCCAGATATGAGCCATATAAGGACTGACCAATCAGAGGCCTTCATTTACGGGGAAATGTTGTTTTAGCAACACGTCTGTCTGAATTACAGCACAAAGCTCACAAACAAATGCCCATATAAGGAATATGGCTCCAGCTCCTTATGTTCAATCAGCCTCTTCTGCATTAATGCTAACACTGTGGTGATGTCACACTTACTCAGTCCACTGCTAATATCTATATAACAGCATTTCTCTTACAGCAGCCATCTTGTTTCTCTTCTTCTTTGTTTTATAGACACCTCCACAAGACTCGTCATCCTCGACCTTTGAGGAAAGAAATGAATGATGTTGTTTTATCCACTCAGTTTGACTCCAGACTAAACTAACTGTGAGAGACCAGAGAGAGACCAGAGAAAGAGACCAGAGACCAGAGAGAGA